GATACTGGGCCTTTTGTCGCTTCACCACAAGATAGAAAGTAGAGCAAGCAAGGCAAGTCCCCAAGAGAAAGAACATGAGGGATGGCTTTCTTTATAACAACCAAGTTCCAGGTGAGTGATCAGTCCCCCAAGAGCAAACTCATGCTAGGAGTACTGAATCCACTGGTGAAGCTCTGTTCCCACGATTCAAACCCTGCCCACTATGCCCCTTGCCCAGCACTGGCTCTAGAGGAGGAATCTTTAGCAGGGTTTGGTGGCAGAGTTCTTCACACCTACCCTGTGTCTTGAGCACCTGGGTTCCCTGCATGCCTTCTCATAGCCCACCATGGTGGCATTTGGGATCCTTTAACACCCAGTCATTGCTTCCATGGCAGCCAGAAAGCTAATTCCATTCTTCCTACTTTGTTCTTTCCTGTCCCTTCTCTTCCTGCTTTTTATTTTCCCTGTTTCCATTATTTCTGCTTAAGCACACAGTTAAATGTGATAATACTCCTCAGGCCTTCAGCTGGACATTCCCCTCCTCCGGGTAAGTGAAGAGCATCCTTAGTACCCTTGGGCACTTCGCCTCTAGTGGGGCCCCAGAATTCCCCGAACTCTGGGGAAGTTAACTCTTGCCTGTCCTTGACAGTGAACACACAGCTTTCTTGGATTTAAAATTTATGAGTTACACTTGCTTTTTAATACAGTAGTGTTATTGTAAACAGTCTTTCTCATACTGAATCCAGTTAAAATTGGTTCACAGTTTACTCACACCAAGACGTTATAGACTGATGATGATTTCTGATCAGGACAGCGCCRTGGTGACAACACTCCCAGCAGGCATACCACCCAGTCTCCCTCTGCACCCACTTCCTGGAGTGAGATAACCACAGAGCCCAAGTGGTCACTGGGATTCTCAGCCGCTGGTCCTTGAGATCTTGCCAGAAGAATCTCATGTGAGGGGCTGAGATTGTGGCTCAGCGGTAGAGCGCTCGCCTAGCACATGCGAGGCCCTGAGTTCGATCCTCAGCACCATATAAAAATAAAATAAAGATGTTGTGTCCAATTACAACTAAAAATTTTTTTTTAAATAATAATAATAAAAAAGAATCTCATGTGGGTTGCATAGAGTTACAAGCAAGAGTTTACTAGGAAATCTGGAGAGTACAGATTTTCAGGACAGACCAAACAGATCACCTCTGGGAGGCCAACATGGTCCCAACAAAGTGAGGACTAGGGTTTTAAGTCCCCTTGTTCTTGCCTCAATTTCTTAGCCACCCCCATCAGTTTATTACCCTTTAGATATCTCTCAACAGCAAACTTTCTCTGTGTGGGTATTGATCTCATCATCACAAGGGGTGGTTGGGTGGTGGTGACTTATTTGGTGATAAGGAAGGGTCTTGGTGACCTGGTGATTGGAGATAGTGCCATCAGATGTGGTCTGGAAACAATAGCTCCCTTAAGTCCCTTTAAGGACTGTAATTAACTCTGGCTGGGGAGGTTCTGACATTCCAGGCCCCATTTTCCTGAAGCTCCTCTGCTTTAATGAGGTTCCCCATGATTTTAAGTAAAAATTCCCTGAAAAGATTATAATTATCTACTGGTTGGGGAAGGTTGGACATTCTGGTTCTCTTTTTTTTTTTTTTTTGGACCACAGATTGAGCTCACRGGCTCTTGACCATGGGCTACATCCCTAGCCCTATTTTGTATTTTCTTTAAAGACAGGATCTCTCTGAGTTGGCTTAGTTTTTAGTTGGCTAGCCCTTGCTGGGGCTGGCTTTGAACTTGCAATCTTCCCGTCTCAGCCTCCTGAGCCACTGGGATTACAGGCGTGCACCCATGCACACAGCTTCTCATTCTTATAGTGGTTGCCTGTTTTGATATTTGATAAGTTTCCTGAGGTTCTGGTTTTATAACTCATGGATTTTTTTTTTTTCCCCTTTTGTACTAGGGATTGAACCCAGGGGCACTTTACCAGTGAGCTGTATCACACATGTTTTTACTTACTTATTTATTTTTAAATTTTGAGACAGTGTCTCAAAAAGTTGCTTAAGGTCTTGTTAAGTTGCTGGGGCTGGACTTGAAYTTGCAATCCCCCTGCTGCAGCCWCCTAAGCTGATACGATAACAGGCGTGCATTGATGCGCCCAGCTATGACTCATGAATTTTTTTWAAATAATTTTTTAGTTGTCAGTGGACCTTTATTTTATTTATTTATATGCAGTGCTGAGAATTGAATCCAGTGCCTCACACATGGTAGGCAGGCACTCTACCCACCTATTCACGGCTGACTAACCTACCTCATAGAGCTGTCCATAGAGTGCTGTGAAGTCTCACCTTCTTCACACCTGTAAAGGCTGCTGCCCACCCTCTTTCTCCTGCATCTGTCTCCTAGATGAATGGCCAGTTTTCTTCTGCCTTTTTTTTTKTCCCCCTGCTGTTTGAATCTCACAATCCAGTCTCAGGCCTGGAGCAGCCTCTCTGTTGGCTGCATTTCCTCTGAGTAGTGTGTGTGTATGCTTCTGGGGACTGAACCTAGGGTTGTTGTACCACTGGGTTGCATTCTGAGCTATTTTTTATTTTGAGACAGGAGCTCGCCAAATTGCCCAGGTTGTTATCAAACTTGCTGGGATTACAAGTGTGCACCATCACTCCTGGCTCAAACTTCTTTCTTTTCCCCTCCTTCTGAGTTGAGACTCCTAGAGGTTGCGTCTCCCCAGATTTGTTGCTCTTCCTCCAGAGTGTAATAGGGCCAGCTTTGTGCCTTCATGGATGTAAAATGAGCTGGCAGGTGCAGGGAGGACCACTGTAGCATGGAGCTTGGGGTTGGGTGGGTTCTTTGTCTCTCAGATTCAAAGAATGAAATCCACAGACACAAATAGTGGAAGGGTAAAAACAAAGTAACAGGAAGAAAGAAGGGGAGGGGTCCCAAGAAAGGCTTGCCAACAGGTTTCTGTTGTCTAGGGGTTTATATGAGTCTGTGGAGTTCAGGAAGTTAACCCCAAACCCATTCTTGGCTAAAGCAGTCAGTRTCCAAGAGCTCTTCATGTACCCTTTGTTCTAATCAGGCTACCTAATTGTTGCTGCCTTGTTGGAGGGGGTCTGGGCATTAGGCAACAGACCAGACATCTGGGTTTTTTGGGTTCCAGCTAATGGAACCAGTTATCAGTTAGCTTTTCTGCTTACATAGGATGAGGCCTAGCTTGTGTCTATAGTTTCTCAACCCTGCTGCACAGAGACCTGACCTTGAAGGGGCCCAAATTGCCTTTCTGCTTATTTTTACTCTTCCTCCTATATCACCAGGACAAGGCATGCCTTGATTTTCTGGAGTCGACGTAACCAGATGTCTGGTCATAAACTTCTTGTGCTTAATATTTTTARAATAACCATATTTTGTTTAAAGAGTGAGCATCTGATCTGCTCCAGGCTTTTTCACATATGATATATCATTTAATGTGATGACAGTGTCACCACCTTAGCCTCATCCTCTTCATAAAAAGTGAAACATGGCCTGGAGGGAGCTGACAGTGGCCCTGCATTGAGGAGAGTGCAGGGCAGTGGCTGTGGAGGTTGGGGTCGGAGAGTGCACCATGCCACATCATTGACTACAGTATATCTGGGCAGTGGAGGAGGAATGCTTCTGACTGGGAGCTGGACTGCCACGTGGGGTTGTGGTGGGAGTTGTGCAGAAGCATGAGTGGCAGGCTACAGCTAGGCTGGAGGGAGAGGTGGGTGCCATAGTCCCACTGACTAGGAGGACTGTGAGCATGGAGAAAAGCATGTGGAGGGGAAGGGCCATGTTTAAGTCATGTCTCCACAATCAGACCTTTGGAAAAGGAGCACTCTCAGCAGGCCCTGTGGGATACAGTCCTGCTCCTGGTGGTTCTCAACCTGGTGGAATGAGGTCCCAAGTAGGGGTTGAGGTTTGGGGCTCATCTGCCTCTAGCCAGTTATTCAAACCTACAGGGGTGTGGTTGAGGTAGTGGGGAGAAACAGGAGGAAGACTAGGGTCCTAAACATTGTCATGTAAAGGGCTGAGGGATTCTGGTCCTGCCTGTGCTCATAGAGACACTTGTGACATTCTTTGAGCTGATGGATGCGAGGGCACCCACTCAGCTATGCACCRCCAAGATGGCAGCTGCTATAAGGCAAGCAAGACATGCCTCTGCAACACCACTGTGGAAATGCTCCATTGACAGGAAGAAACTGGGTCTCCATGAGGGTCTGCTGGGAATAGAGATTTTGATTTTAACAAATGTAGGGTGTCTCTGTCCTCTGCATTTGCATTGACGGGGCTGATGCCATCCATGTGCCACACATGTTCACTCCAGCAACCTCAGCAGGGCCTGGGGGTTCTCAAGAACAAATGAGACTAGTGGGCCAGCAGGAGAGAGCCTTGAGGTTCTCAAATGTGGCTGAGAATGTAGAAAATTTGAGTGAACCTGAATCCTCTGTTTTTAAAAGTGGGTACTCAACTACAGAATAAAAGGCACCCGCGCCTTTTGCTCTTAGGGAAGTTTTGGTGTGTGTGAGGCACAAGTCTTGGAGAGCTCCTTCCTAGGGGGCATGTCTGGGTCTTCTCTCTGTCAAGGGCACAAGCAAGGGACTGTGCTTTCCTTGTCCTAGGCCTGCCACCTGGGCAGCTTCTGTTGACAGCTGCACCCTCCCTTCCTCCTCACCTCCAGCAGAGACTTAGGACCACCCCTGAGCTCTCTGGCAGCCGTTTCTGGGGAACTCTAAAGGGCGCCTGGAGGACTGGCTGTCATTTAATGACCAGAYATCTGGGTTGTCTGGGTTCTAGCTAATGTGACCTGAAGCAGCAGTTGCTTTGCTCAGCAAACACATGAATGGATCTGGATGTTCACAAGCACAGAGATCTTCCCTCCTTTGGCCTTTGCTCCTTTTAGAAGAATTTGTTACCATTTGTGAAGATGTTTAAATTATGTAATGCCGATGGTTGGCTCTTCCTGGTGGAATGGCCGCTGTTGTGAGATGATGTGCATTTTCTCTTCCATTTTGCAGATGATGTCTTTCTGCCTAAAGATATCGACCTGGACAGTGTTGATATGGATGAGACCGAGAGGGAAGTGGAATATTTTAAAAGGTAAATGTTAGAACTGAATGTTTAAAACAAAGGTAGCCCTGTGGATGCCGAGCTTGTTTTGTTTCCTCTCTTCYCCTGACCTTCCCCAGGCCTTTCCATGGTGCTAGATGAATTTCATCTGCAAGCCAGCAGCACAGGCCTGTGTCTTGCCCATGCCCCCAGCACTTGCTTACACACTCGRCCCAACTTCACACACCTGTTCACTTCTCCCCTCCCATAGCTGTTTAGAGTCTGGTTGGTGGTGGTAGTTCTCATGGTGGGCCTGGACCGGCAGTGRCACACAGGAACCCAGGTCCCTCCCAAGACCTGCTGCATCTGACTGGGAGTGTTTTGGCAGGGGTGTCACCTGCATTTATGAATGCCTTCCAGGTGATCCTTAATGGTTGAATGCACTCATGTGTCCTACATTTAAGGAGAAAAGTAATATTTTAGATATTGGCTGTTTTTTTGATGGCAGTCTATCAATAATGTTTTATCTACTATGAGAACTGTGGGAAAAAATTATTTTAAAGCACTTTATATTTTCTTTGGAATTATACACAAGTAATACAAAGAAGGAGTATGCAATGCAAAAATTGATTAACTCATTCCTAAAATATTGGAGAATTATAAATACTTCTGGAAATTACATCTAACTTTAGTATAATTTAGTATACATATTAGCAGATGGAGAAAAGCATTCACTAAACTAAACATCCATTCATTATAAAAACTTAACAAATGAGAAGAAAAGGTCCATGAAGGAGGGAAAGGCCTTCAGGAAGTGTCGTGTGTGACAGCAAGAGAGCAAAAGCGTCCTTTCAGGTTGGAGATGCCAACTCTCATTTGTAAATGTCTGAAAAGAAGCGAAGGGGTAAGAGAAGGAAGAAAGTGGCATTATTCTCACATAATAGGAGTGTTTGTACAGAACACAAAAGAAACCATTGATAGATTATTTGAATTAATGAAATAGGTTGGCAAGGGTATTGGATTCAAAGTCAGCAAGTAGTCTCCCTTCTTTAACATCTTTGAAAAAAAAAAACATGTACCTAGGATGATGATGTTCATCTATTCCATCATCTTTTCAACTCCCATAATCCCTCCCCTTTGCCTAATCCAAAGTTCCTCCACTCTTGGAGGCATTTTTATCTTAGAACAAACAAAAGTTTTACAGTAACTACCTCTCTCCACCTGCTCCCACAGAAGCAGACAAGACCTAAGCTGAGGTTTTGTGGGCAAAGGTTCTGGGGAGACTTTGGCCTAGGTTTTCTATTACTAAACCGCTGTGCCCTGMGTATTGGGCAAGAGCACCTGGGAACAGAGATAGGAACTGAAGGTATGACTGAAAGCCAGATGTGGTGGCTAATGCAGGAGGATCAGTTGAGCCCACAAGTTCAGTATCATCCTGGGTAACAGCAAGACCCTGTCCCCAAAAAAAACAAGCAAACAGGCCTGTGGTTGCCTCACATGCATGAGGTATTGGCTTTGATCCTCAGCACCACATTAAAAAAAAAGAAGAAGAAGAAGAAGAAGATATTATGTCCATTTACAACTTAAAAAAAATTTTCTTTAAATACATGGTTGCAATTCAAGTGGCAGGGAAGGTGGTTTACCCTGGGGCTGGGTTTGGGGAGCAAGGGATGGAGTAGGGCTACATTTTGGATATAGGAAGAACCTCAGAGGGAAGTTTTCCCAAGGTAGCCTGTAAGATTCTTGTGCATTAAAATCATGCATGACTTCATTCATAAACAGACACCCCAGACTTGGGAAAAACAAGAGAAATATAATGGTTAAAATCAAGAATAAAGTAGAGCTAAACACAGTGRTATATACCTATAATCCCAGCTACTTGGGAGGCTGAGGCAGGAAGGTCACAAGTTTGAAGGACTGGGGATGTATCTCAGTGGTAAAGTACTCTGAGTTCCATCCCTAGAAAAAAAAAAAAAAAAAAAAAAAAAAAACATCAATACATAGATGACACAAACAGGTTAGACAGTGTTACAAAGGGAATTAATGAACTAGAAAACATCTGAAAAATGTACCCAGAATGTAATCAGGGCACAGTGGTGCACACTCGGAGTCTGAAGAAAGAGGATCACAAGTTCAAAGCCAGCCTCAGCAATGGTGAGGCACTAAGCAACTCATTGAGACCCTGTCTCTAAATAAAGTACAAAACAGGGTGGGGGAAGTGGCTCAGTGACAGAGTGCCCCTGAGTTCAATCCCCAGTACCAAAAACAATGTACCCAGAAGGCATTGAAATGTTTAGAAAATATGAAAGAGAGGTTGAAACTAAGTAAATCTAACCCAAAAAAAAACTTAATATACAACATCAGCCCAAGAAAAGTATTAAAATCATGAACCAAGAATTTCTGAGGAGATGAAACCTTCAACTGCAAATCTTTCCAGCAGAAAAGAAGGTAGGGAATATGTGCATACTTTCAAAGAACAGATCAGCCAGTCTCTGAAACAAACTACCAGAGAATTTAACAAGCAGAGCACRCCTACAAGAGAATGTGCCCTACTTTGTTTTATGTGACAAGTAAAATTTCAGTACAAAATCTGCCAAAAAATAATACCAGGGAACAAAAAAGAAAATTTATAGGTTTGTCTCACTTGTGAATAATGATTACAGAAATCCTAAGGAAAATACACGCTCATTCCAAATCCAACAGTGTGTTTTCTAAAACAGTGTGCCATGGTCAGTTGGGCTTAGCCCAGGAGTGCAGAGGGAGTTTCATATTCAAACACCCATTCACTATTTGCTACATTGATATTTTCAAGGAGAGCTGTTTAATAGATTCAGAAAAGGCATTTGACAAAATTTTAGCACCCGTTTGTAATTAACRTGGAAAAGAAAAAATAGAAAGCCAGCAATAGAGCTGCAATATTAAATAGAAAGGTAACAGACTAACTTGAGTAAGTGATTTGCTAAAAGAGAAGAAAAAGAAACCTGTATGCAGTAGTTTCCTAAAGGGAAAGAATGTGGAAGCATGTGCAGAACAGAGATGCTCTCTTATTACTACTTGAATTCCTGGCCAGCATAGTAAGACAGGAAAAGAAATTGAAGACTGAGAAGTGGAAAGGAAGAAATAAAACTCTCTTATGGTTGCTCTAGTTGTCTGCATAGTACATGCAAAAGAACATACAGCTGGGGCCRTGTAGGAGAAGCACAGAAGTTATTTGGTATTCTCTATGCCATTAATAAGTAGAAGATGCASCTACAAAAAAGACAGCATTTATAATAACACCACCATCTCTGCAGGACCCATGAATAAAGCTAACAAAAGTTGTATGGGACTTGTGCACAGAAGCCTGGAACTTTACTGAAAAATAATAAAGACCTAAACCACAGATCGTTTTCAAAGACAGGAAAAGTTTATGTAAAGCTATTGAGTTTCCAGTCTGTAGATACAAGCATAGATTTGTGGAACTTGTTAAAAGAAGAAATTGTGATAGTCACACAGTAGAATGCTCCATAGCAACAAAGAGAAGCAAACTGGAGCTACCACCTAAGTGGCCTGTGCACCTACTGCTGTGTAGGTCCAGCACACTGAGTAGCTGGATTGCAGGTATGTCCACTGTACCTACCTCCTGTCTTGGGTATCTGCCTGAGAGGATCATAGGCCTGTGCCCACACACAGTCTTGGTCACACTTTATAATAACCAAAAACTGGGACCAACCCAAACATCTTTCAGAAGGAGGATGGGTGCCTGGTGCATCTCCCAGTAGAACACTCAGCAATGAGTAGGAGCCACTGCTGGTGCCACATGAAGGCAAATAGGGAGGTGTCTCCAGACCAGCTTGTTGTGTGACAGAAGGCATGCTATGAGGTTCCATTGGTGTAGAATTCCAGAAAATACAGTTTCACCCAGTAACAGACAACACATTGTTACTAGCCTAGACAAAGCAGGAGGGTAGGGAATATGAGAGTTTTGTAGAAATAGTGGATATATTTGTTAGCATTTATTAGCTCTGTACTAACTGTGCAGTTTTTTTATTGCACATAAATCATACCACAGTAGATTTAAATCATACCACAGTAGATTTTATTATGAAGTATCTTGTTCAGAGGTGCATACATATGTGTTAAAACTATAAAGAAAAGAAAGGAAGTTATCACCATAAAAAGTCAGAATGATTACTTCTGAGTGAGGAAGGTAGGCTGTGGCCTACAAAGGCATTGGGGAACATCCCCTGGCTGCTGGCAGTGTTTGTGGGGGCTCTTTGATGCACAGTGTTTGTTTTGTACTTATTCTTTATTATGTATTTGTTTTGTTTACCCTTCTGTATGTGTTTCATTTTATCCCCCCCMAAAAATGGAGGAATAGAACAGGGACAAGAAAGACCACTTTTCCTGCAGAGCGTAAAGACTTAGAAAGTCTTGGCTTTTAAAACATTGCGATAAAATTGATAGGGAATATGGAGCCTTGAAACATCCCTGTGAAAATAGATTGCTGTGGAAATGAAGGAATATTCATAGATGGTAGTTAGTTACCCAATGGGAAAAACAAGAGATTGGAACCCTACCCCACACTGTGCTCAGATCAACTCCGGATGGTTTAAAATTTTAAATGTCAAAAGCAAACCTTTTGACTGGGATGTAGCTCAGTAGTAGATGGAGTGCTTAGAATGTGCGATGACTTAGGTTTGATCAGCAGCACCAAAAAAAAGAAAAAGAAAGAAAGAAAAAGGCAAACCTCTTAATTTTTAATTGAGAAAATAAAGGTGAATATATTTCTGATCTCAGAGTAGGGAAAGATTTCTTAAAAACACAAACCATAAAATACCACAGTGGTATGTTCCTGTAGGCCCAGCCACTCAGGAAGCTGAGGCAGGAGAACTGCTTGAACCCAAGAGTTTGAGGTCAACCTAGATGACAAAGTGAGACCCTGTCTCAAAATGGAATGGAATGTGAAGTGGCTCGAGTTTAGCCCAATGGTAGAGCATGTGCTTTGCATTGTGCAAATCTGAGGTTCAGTCCCCAGCACTGATAAGTTATACTACTTAAAGGCTGAGGATTCGCCTTAAAGTGTCTGTAGCACATCACAAGGAATGGTATCAGGAAGTATAAACATTACAGAACAGAGAAAAAAGACAAACCCGTTGGAAACCAGTAGGCTCCCAGAGCATACAAGCAGTCAGGCAAGCACAGGGATGTCTCATCCTGTCCAGGAAAGTGCTGTGTCCTCATCACTGTAGCCAGCGAGTGGCCTCCATCTCCGGTGGGGGGCCRGGGGAGGGCAGCCTGGAGCCATGCAAATCCTTACTCTGCTCCCAGGAGTATAAACAGTAAATCACTTGGGAAAAGAGTTGGACAGGCGCAGTGGTGCACGGCAGTAATCCCAGCAGCTCAGGAGGCTGAAGTAGGAGGATTGCAAGTTCAGAGCCAGCCTCAGCAACTCAGTGAGACCCTGTCTCTAAATAAAATGCAAAAAGGAGGCTTGAGGTTGTGGCTTAGTGCTAAAGTACCCCTGAGTTCAGGCCCCAGTACAAAACAAACAAACAAAAAAGGCAGAATCTGGTGAAACTGAAGTGTGTGTCCCACGTGACCCAACAGGCAGCTCCACAGCTTCTACACCTCAAGGGGCTCCTGGACTCGCACCCCAGGAAGCACAAGAGCAAGCTGAGCAGCATCTTCATCCAGCAACAGAACGGGCAGGCTCATGGAGGAAGTTCACAGAGTGTGCTGAGTGGAAGAGGCACTAAGAAGACATCCACCCAGGACGTTCCCATCTCTAGAAGCTCACAAACCCACATGACCAAGCTGCTATGAGAGAGGCTAATCACACAAATGCCAGAACAGTGACTGCACCCCTGGGAGAAGGCAGCAGGGCACTGGGGTTGCCAGCACTGGGGGCAGTCACTTGGGTCACRCTGCATCATAGTGACCTTGTGTGCCTATTTTTTGTGCCTGGTACAGGCATGCAGTCTAGAGTTGATGCAGGCCTGATGGGGAGACAGTACAGTCTTGTTCTCACTGGGCCCAGGGTCCTTGGGGAACAGCTTAGGTTTACTGCGCAGAATTTAGATACCCATTGGAAGCCTTGGTGTGGCTTAGATTAGGGTTTTTCATTGATTTGCTTTGAACCAGGATGTGATTTCTTTTTTTGAGTATTCTAATTGCTATGTAGAGAACAGAGTGGCTGGGGGTAGGGGGGTCACACTAATGGAGACGGTCTGGAAGCACTTGCCATTTGAAGGAGACAGTAGAGGCAGAAGTAGAAGTTTCCAGAAAGTTTAGAAGTTTACATCACATACACAAGGCTTGACCTGCTATGGCCAGGGAAAAAGATTCTTGGATTCTGAGAGATGGCACCACCCTTCCCTAGTAGACCTCAGCTTTCCCTCTACCTGGGTAGAGACCACTGGCCAGCAACACACAGTTGGGGACACACAAATGTCTACAGTTAAATGATTGAACCACAATTTAAGCAAATTCCATTTGTCCATTGAATGAGAGAGACCACCACCATTCTCCTGTTTCACTTTCAGATCTGCTACCTAAGTTRGAGTTGGAATGATGAGAACTGCAAAATTACACAAGGGTTTTAAACAAAAGAAAATGTTCTTTACTTAATTTAATACGAAGTTGGCTCTTGCTGCCTGGGAAATGAGGCCAAGTATAGACTTTCTCAAAAGCTGTTTAGTATGCAATGTTTATGGACCAGAACACAGTGAGCCTAGAGGCTGGCCTGAGTCTGTGCAGGGGACATGTCCTCTGAGACAGGAGTGCAGGGTAGAGTGCTATAACCCTGTCTCGCTGTCATGAGTCCTCGTGACAGTGTGAATTCCTGAGTAAGTTAAGACAGGCAGAGATCCCAGCATTGTCCTTAGTTTAGGTTATGTGCCAGCCCCAGCCTCACATGAAAATTTTGTGACACATGAAAATTATACAAAGCAGGAACTTTACTCTTTGTGTGAATAGAACTTTGTTGGTGTTCAGCTGTGCTCTCACCTGCTGCCCACTGCTGTTGGGCTGTTGTGGAGGGTGTGCACTTGTCATGACTGCTGGCCTGTCACAGAACACATGGATCATCCCCAACAATCCTTGATAGCTGTGGCCTCAGGCTTGCTGTGGAGCCCTTCCCAGCAGTTCACGTGGGCAAGGCTCAGGCAGAGCTGCTTCCATCTGCCCTCCCAGCTATGGMTAGCTGTGGCTGTCCCCTTGCCTGCCCAGCTACAAGGACTGAGATATAGCTGGTGGCTTCTTTCCTGTCCTCATGGGGAGCTTAGGCCACACACAAGAGCCTGCAGGGCATGTGTTAACACAGCCCGCTCCCTACCAACCAGTGCCAGAATTGCCACCCTGGAGTCCTGCCTCAAGACATCTTCCAGTCCCGTCATCCTCCCATCAGTCCTGCCAGTCTGTCTGAGGAGCATGGTTGCAAACCCCACTCCCACTCTGCCCAGCTGCTGCCAAATTGTCACCTGCTCCCCAGCAAGCTGTATCTGAAGTAGTAGCCTTTGGATTAAGGAAGCAGTGACCCTCCTAGCCCTTTGTCCTTATCCTTGCCATAGCCACATCAAGAAGGACAGGGTGCTAGCCAATGGTAGCTGTTCTTAGATGAGCCAGTGAGTACCTTCCTGTGAGGAAGCTGAAGGAGGCCTGTATCCCTTAACAGTGCTGCCTCTGCCTTCCCCCATGTGGAGCCAGCTGCTTTCTGAAGGAACCCTGGTTGTTCCTGGAGCATGAGGTGGAAAACAAAAAGCACCAGAGACCACACAGGCTATGTGGTCAGTGTCCTGAAGATGGGGCCCCTGCCTCCCATTCTCCAGGTCAAGGAGGGAGTCCTGGGCTTCAGATCCCACTCCCTGACTCACACCCACCTCCAGTTAGTTTCTGGCAAGATTGGGGCTGACAAGGTTGGCCAGGCCCCAGCCTGGGTGGGGGCTGCCTCCCTCATCAGCCTYTTGTCTTTGCAGGTTCTGCTTGGACTCCGCTAGACAGACCCGACAGAGACTGTCCATCAACTGGTCCAACTTTAGCTTGAAAAAAGCCACTTTTGCTGCCCACTGAACAAAGACCACATGGAGAGGGACACGCGGGAGGAGGCCGGGCTGTGCCACCTCAAGAGCTGAGCCCCTCGCCGGCCCCCCAGAGCTGCCGTGTCCACCCAGGACGGGGCAGGGTGGGGCGCCACAGCCTGAGACCCAGACCGAGAACTTGCTGCTCGACCCGCGTTGTAGCTCGTGTGCGTGTAGTCTGTGAGTGAGACTTCTTTGATTGTAGCTCTGTGCAGTCGGATTGGAACAGTAGTTCCCGCCAGTTCCTCCCACCACCGCGGCCTCAGAGGTGTGGGCCATGGCCAGAGATGAGTGCAGCATACGYGTGCTCCGTTGCCTCTGCATCGCGCCCATCCTGACGTCTGTCCCGCTGGGTGTCGCCATCCCTCAGCTCCCATGTGCCCTGYGTCCCATCAAGGCGGGCTGGGCGGGCAGGCCTCCGTTCTTCATGATCTACTGTTTCCAAGTGTACACGTTGCGCTGTTTGTGTTTGATCCCCTGACTCGTAGCCAGCTTGTGTAAGACCCCTTGCAGAATGAGAACGTTAAAAACAAGAAATCCACCCAGTACTCACACCATCACGTCTGTTCTAGAGCGTGCGACCGTACTGACACGGAGGCCTGCCTGGCTACTTTTTAACATATTGTTAAGTAATATTAAAATCATGTCTTTCTTTTTGAAAGATGGAATACATTAGTACAGCAGGAGACCCAGTCTGGTTGCTTTCTGCTGGGGGGGTGTGGCCGTGGTGGGAAGTGACAAGTGGGTGATGTGTCCCCCCAGGAGCCAGGGCTGATGTCAGCTTAGGGCTCCTGGTGCCCTCATGGACCTCCATGTGCTGGGCTGGCCCAAGCACCAGGACAGAGCAGTCAGCAGGAGACACAACCACTGGATCATCACGGCTTCACGTGGACATGCCAAGAAGCCACAAGACTGGGTGGGCAGGCTCAGCAGTTCACCTGAGGGACAAGGGTGTGTTGGATTAACCCTCAGCAGCTTCATTGAGATCAGAGGCCCCTGCAGCACAGAGCAGAGGGTCAGCAGGGCAGGGTCACGTGTGGCCTTTAGGCAGGTTCCYATCTACACTTTGGAAAGGTTGTGATCTAGACTAAAATGATAAATTATATTCGACTGGGTATATACATTGATAACAAAGTGAGTAGTATTTAAAATGAAAAAAGGAATCCCAGCTTGTCCCTTTCTTCTGAGRTCTCTTTAGGCAATTTGCAGAACACCCACATGGAGCTGCCACCTGGTTGCTGTCTAACGTCCATATCCTCCTAGAGCACTGCATAGCTCCCTCGTCTCCCAATCTCTTGGCATCTGGAGGTCAGAGGGCTGGGAGAGGCAGGCCAAGGCAGGGCTGATGTGGTCGACAAAGCCAGGAGCTGGCTACAAAGCTCCTGCACCAAGGTGACTTGACAGCCCAGAGGGAGCTGGTTTGTGGGACAATAGGGTTGGGGCCAGCTGGGGGGGGGGCAGCAGGTCCTGGCAACTCTGTGGACTGCACCAGGAAGTGGGTGGATAGTCAGAGGAGGTACAGAATTGGGAGTTTTCTTTTGTTTATTTTGTTTTATTTTTTCCAGGTGGGAGGAAGAACAGCACATCCCTTTGTTCATAGGATGGTTCAGCGAAGGGAAAAACAGGCTGGGCTGTGACCACGGCAGGAGAGTGCCCTTGAGAGGGCAGGGACCCTGATGCAGTCCCTCAGGGATGCCGGCTTCATCTCCTGGCTGAGGTGGGGGCTGGATAGGGGCCAAGGGCTAGGGCCTGTACCCATGTGGGAAACCCTAAATCCTGCCTGCCCAGGCCTGTTCTCCCTGTGGACAGTCTTGAAGCTGTGCTGGGAGCCAGTCCCACCTCTGGACCTCAGCTTACTCATCTGTCCAGTAGAGCCATGCCAGCTRCTAAGAAGAACCACAGGGTCCCCAGCTGTGATATCAGGAACTGTTGGGAGCATGAGTGGTAAAGGGATTTYTGGGTACCCCAACAAGGACCATCACACTGAGGCCTAGAGATAATTCAAATACCAGTCCTGAGCCCAGCTCCTGAGCATTCGTCGAGGTATAGTAGTMAACTGCAGCCTCCCCTGCTCCCATTTCACCAGCCTTCAGCCTGTTCCCCGAGCCCTCAGACTTCCTGGCCCTTCCCTGCTGTTCCTCCACCAGGAACAACTGTCCCATTTCCCTGGAGGTCACTCACCCTTCAAGACCGTCCACGTGGTTCTTTGGGTTTTTCTTCAAGAGGGTACTGCTCAACAGTGCTTATCCTCAGGAACAAAAAGAAATAGAGAATGGAACCAACTTGAGGGGACAGAGGAGAGGGAGGAGGGCTCCTGAGGACAGTCCTTCCAGCACATAGCATGGCCTGGTGATCTGTCCCACCCATTGTGCCACTTACATATGAGGGACTAAGACCCAAGGTGTATATGCTGCCTAGGGCAGCTGCAAACAGCCCCAGTGTTGCTGTCCTCATCAGAGCCCAGGCCTAGGGCTATACCTGTTCTTGATGAGATCAGTCCCCACTGGGTAGCCTGATGTTTTTKACTCTTCCCACAATATCACTAATCATGAAATGAAATAAAATAACAATAGCTAGAAAAGACCCTACCAGTGGAAAAATTTTTATTGAACTTTTTAACTTTCATGCTCATTCCATTAAAACAAAAGGAGCCAGGTCAGTGACACCTGAGGTCCTAGCACTCAGGAGGATCCCTTGAGCCCAGAAATTCAAGACCAGCCTGGCAACATAGATCCTGTCTCAGAAGACAATGWCAACAACAACAAAAATTAAAATCAAAATGAATTTAATGATACCAGAAAAGATTACTGCTTTTTTGTTAATTTGGGGAGGTGGTTTTTATTGTTTGGTTGTTTTTATACTAGGGATTGAACCCAGGACCTTGAGCATGCTAGTCAGCTGCTCAACCTCTGAGTGGCATCAGCTACATCCCTAGCTCTTCTATGTTGCCCAGGCTGATCTTCAACTCATGGTCCAAAGTGATCCTCCCAAGTGGGAGAATGTGCACCACTATGTCTAACAATATATTTATAAAAGGGAGTAGTAAAAAATTGACTCTTTTTTTTTTTTTTTTTTTGGTAGTGCTAGAGATTGAACCCAGGAACATTGTACCACTGAGCTGTGTCCCCAGCCCCCCCCCTTTTTTTTTTAAAGAAACAGTTCTCACTGAATTGCAGATACTGGCCTTGAACTTGCAACCTCCTGCCTCAGCCCTCCAAGTCACTGGGATTACAAGTGTACACCACCATACCTGGCTAGTTCACTGTTAACAACAAAAACTTACTATGTCATCGTTCAGGATGACAGGTAAAAGTGCCTCAAGTTCTGGCTCTTCATCTACAGTCAGTAGCATTATTTTGGACCCACTACTGAAATGCAAGAATAARCAAGCATTCAGGAGTGGGCATCATGAACTACACAAGGAGAGTCAAGGCAATAGGAATTATCGGTAACTTCTTGCAAGCACACCTGTGGCTGAGCGGGTTAGGAGAMACCTGTGTAACCAGGAGCCTCCAGATAGTTCTTGGTGGCAAATGCATTAGGTTCCAGGATGAGTGAATGGARGGACATAAGAGGGACCAATTGCTATGGAAACTGTCCTCTTTCACACAGATGATGGCATGCCAACAGCTCAAGATAGTAGTCCTTAAGAGAAGGCAAGACAGGTAAGCCCTTAGGCAACCAGCTCTTTGCCTAGAGGCAGCTTCCAGTTCCCAGCACTGAGACAGGAACCCAGCAGCATTGTTGAACAGAGGAAAGACCAGAGTTTGAGGAGGCCACAATAACTGGGATTTGGGTCAGAGTTCCAGGCAGSAGGGGCTTGTACATAGAGGTCTGGAGATGAGATCTGCTGCGAGTCCCCTCTGTTCCTTGGCTCAGTTCTCATCTGTGCACAGGTTGCATAAATCTAAGCACTGAGTCTCCAAAAAGCAGCAAGGTGTTCGTACCTGATGTTTGAACTGGGCGAAGTGGAGGCAGGTAGTAAGGCACTGGAAACATGCTTATTAGCTGCCTCAGAGGAATCCAACTGACCCCACGCAACTTCCTGGCTGATAGAACAAAGCCCAGCATTCTCTAAAGAAATACAGGAACTTCCCACCTCAGCCAAGTGCAAGCCACAACACAGGCACATGGTCAGAAGCTACCAGGCTCTGCCAAAATAAGGAAAACAAACTGTAATCAAGAGGAGTTCCAGTCAAAAGAAACAGATTCAAAAGAAACACAATAAGTCCATAAGAAACTTAAAAGGACCATTATAAGTCTTTTAAATGTTCTCAGTGATGTCAGTATAAACAAGGTGAAGGAATACATGTAAAAACCAAAAAAGACAAAAGGCCAGCGTGCATAAGGCAGTACTGCCAAACAACAGCAACAACATGAGCTGAAATGGTGTACCCTGGACAGAATTAATAGCAAATAGGAAGTCTGCACTTGATGTTGTGTGCATGTGTCTATATCACATATTTGTGTRTACACACATGTGTATGTGGAAAATGCATATGAACTAAAAAATATGGTTTGCCATCTGTGGAACTGGAGTCCTAAAAGAGGTAGGGGACAAACTGAGTGCAGTGGCCCACACCCGTAATTCCAGTAGCTCAGGAGGCTAAGGCAAAAAGATCACAAGTTCAAAGCCAGTCTCAACTTAGGCCCTAAGCAACTCTTAAGACCTGTCTCTAAATAAAAATTTTTAAAAGGGGCTGGGGATGTGGCTCAGTGGTCAAACAGCCCTGGGTTCAGTCCTCAGTACCAAAAAAAAAGAAGAAGAAATGGAAGTATAAGAGGTGGGAACCTAGGGCCTTGTGCATGCAAGACAGAACCAAAGAACCAGAGTCCTAGAAAATCATGTTCAAAATGCTGAAAGCAATGGTTCATGAAACCTCAA